GCATAAAAAGAGTTATCTAAACGCGTTGATACTATTCGATTATAAAGCCATCATAAAATACAGCTCTATACATGCTGCATTGCTGAATGGAATATTTGAAGAATAAAAAAGAAATAAAGTATAAATCAAAATTGATGTATTATGAATCAAGAGGAGATATTTATTCGTAGGTCTTTATTTTCGGCTCGACTTTGGAACAAATAGGGGATAATCGTAACTTGTCTACGGTATGATGTTTTGGGACGATCATTCCGTTTAATCAATACACAAAGCAGGAGCAAAGTATTATTAGATTCCTCAAGCACTCAATTCAATTTTAGTTTTGTTACGTGTTTAAAATAATGTTGCAATTGGCGTCAAGTAATTCGGATTGGATTTGTGTAGGCGAAAGAACAAAATATTCAGATGGAGTCTCACCTTTACATAGGAACATAAACACACACATTATATATATATATATATATATATATATATATATATATATATATATATATATATATATATATATATATATATATACAATTTCATGTGTCGATAATTAGGTTTTATGGTTAGAATATAAAGGCTTTCTTTAAATCATACGGTCATGCCTATACGACAGCAATGTATTTCCTTCCGTGACTTACGCATAAACTGTGTTACAAAATTCACGGCTACAAAAATAGTTTTTAAAAAACTCAACCCCCACCCACCCACACGAAACAAAACAAAACAAAGAAACCCCTTCACAAATAAACAAGCAAACAAACAGAATAACCGAAGATCAGTCTCTGTTATTATATACTAACATGACCACAATAATGTATATATTTGAAAATACCGCTAGCCTATGTAAATAAATTAAAACTTATCACCATTGCCATGGGAATAGAGAATTCACAAAAAGAAGACCTAAAGAAATTAACCTCCAGTAAGTATGTAATTAGTTTACATACAAAATGGAATGCTATTTAGCTTGGTGTTTAATTCAGAAGTCGTATTCTGCCGAAACATGATTAGCAAAATCGAAAGAAGAAACATAAAGACTTATGTGAAACACAAGGAATTAATCGATATTTTAAATCACTGAAAGAGTCTACGAAACATAATCTAGAAACAAATCTCAAAAGAACATTTACCCAAAGCTTTAAAACATAAGCAAAATCATCGTGTTTCAGAAAATGAAAGACGTCGGCAAGAGGTAATACACACAATGTATGTTTTTGCTTGAATTGATGTCTTGAATATGCATTAGTAACAAAACGGATGCTGCAGTGTGGTGGTGCATATTCTACAGAAAAAAGGTATACAAAATGCAAACACGTTGTGGCAGTTTAACCCTAAATACTTTAGGCACGGATATCCGAACTGCAAAATATTCACTCTGATAACTACCTTGCATTTTATGCCATGAACAAACGTGTTCCACATATTATAGAGAGAATTAATATCTTCATTCATTTGGAATTGGGCGTTAAAGACATTATTGAGGAAAATATGGAAACAAAACATTTAGGAGTGTGTAGAAACCAAGGCAGAATCTAGAATCACCCTAAAGAAAACCACCTCTTTTTGCAGAAAAAGCAAAGGAACGTTATAGAGTTTGGGCATATTTATTTCCGTTTATTCTACCATACAAAACTATAACATTAAACTTTGTTGATTTGAAATGAAGTATAAAAAAACCCAAACAAGATTCGTAACTACTAACTTTGAAATAGAAACTATTTAAAATACTTGAATATTGCGACATTGGATGAAGATCTTTGAATCATTGTTGGAGCTGATATGTTATACTTAAAAGTTTCTTGTAGCTTTTTTTAAGGATATATTAACTTTGTGTATTTGAGAGAATATTATATTGAGAAATGTTTTAAAACTTTACACTAATCATAGTAATTGTCAGTAAGAGCATGGTGGTTTTGAAAAAAATCTTATCGATCGACAGGAACTGCGGCAAACATAACAACTTTGACTTATCAGACTTGAAACAACGTGGGCTAATTTGTCTTTTAACGACCTCCATTATTGACATGTTGTATTTTGCTCTCACTCACGAATGTATCTACATCAAGATTTGGACACCAACCAGAGCTGCTTAAGCATGTAGCAAGGCAGACTGGCGTTATGCCGATCAGAATAATGGCTTCTATTCTACAAAGCACGTTATGTATAATGAATTCTTAACTGAAACATTTTCATATAAGGTACCAGAGTAAGAATCAGTCTGAAGATTTTAACATATCATTAAACAATCTTGATTCATCCATTCAATCTAAGTTAATGACGAAAACGATATTTTCGAATAGCTTGTTATAAGTCATTGATTATGGTCATGTAACTTCTCTATAATATCCTAGTTCATATCCTATTATACATACATGTCATCATAATCATTATCGATCTCTACTTTCTCTATCTGAGATTAAAGAACAAAAATCAACGCAAAACAAATTAACTATTTAACATCGAACAATGAGCTCAAACATATATCTCAATACATATGTGAGTAGAATACAATTAAGATCTTACACCTGGGATATATATATATATATATATATATATATATATATATATATATATATATATATATATATATATATATATATAACTCCAGATCATCGTAAAATGATGACTTGTTGATTTGGGGCAATACCAATATGAATATGAAATTCTAATCACCATGAGGACCATTAAAATTAAGAGATGAACATGTAAATTATTATCACGTACGAATAAGTTAACAGTCTGCTGGGAATACTTTGGACTGAACATTGAATAATAACGCCGGTGGCTTGCTAGAGAGGAGAATGTTGTTCACAAATCAAGGTACTAATTCAGTTCCCATAGTAAACCTATGCAAACACCATGATATTAAAAATTCAATAACTTAAAATTTTTGAGTGCTTTTGACCAAATCTATATTTTTCACTTTTGAGTGCTTATGACCAAATCTATATTTATCAGTATGACCAAACCTATATTTATCAGTATAAGATTAAACCTGGAAGTCAGCTTCTGTAAAGAGGAAAGAATGAGAGCCGCGACATTTTCTGGACCTGCATATGTTTTAATTCAGCACTAGCAACAGGTGATAATTTTAGTATTGAGTATTCCAAAATCAAGACTACTAAAGGACTGAAATTACATCAATAAAACGATGTCTATTTTTATTCAGTATCAACTAGTATAAGGTCTCAAAAGTTTCTTATTCCTAAAACGTAACTTACGTCATTAACCAATTCTGGTCATCTAAACCCGTATATACTCTATTTAATGTTCACCCATCATTAGGCTTGTTCCCATTTTTCAATACAATTAGTACCATGTGTCCTTATTGTAGTACCATGTGTCCTTCAGTGGCATTAATTACCCTGAGCGGGTTGGATCAGAATACGGCGACAGTATCCCTTGAGAGCGAGAAAGCGACATGGTCATTTCTTACCGGGCAATTGGTCGTATGTTGTTGTCGTTGTTCTGGGGCTTAACGCCATTTTTCGGCACACGATAGGCTATAAATGGCAGGCAGTATTAATGGTGGAGGAAGAGGCCAGGCAATCAGCGGAAAGAACCACCAACCCACGAGAAGCTACTGGCAAGCTTTCTCACATATCCACATTCTCCGGATCTTAGACTTGAACCCAGCAGACAGAGGTGACATGGCAGTGATCCGTAACGGAGAGCGATTTAGACCACTTGGCCACTCGGGGCCATCCAGGTCGTATGTTGTTAAATTCCATTATGCTCCTTCGAGCAATGCATAACACAATTTTTAAAAAGATATGAAAATGTGTAGAAAGGAATATGTTAGATAAAAAAGTTATTCCTTTTTAACGTACACCACTAGTGTTGGTGAACCAAGATTAGAGTTTTTCATCGCAACAGTGAAATTGGACTCGGATTCGACGTTCTTCATGATCACAGTGGCATGGAGATGGACATCGAACAAAAACAGAAACAAACAGGACATAAACATAAACAAACAGGTTATAACATTTATCAAGCATAATATGACATAATCCAAACAGGATACAGACAGAACTAAACAGATTATAACTAGAATCAAACAAGATACAACCAAATCAATCCTGAAATATCTAGAATCAAACGTGATATAACTAGAAGCAAACTGGTCTTAACCCAAACCAATCATGATATAACCCAGCCAAACATAACATAACATAACCAAAATCAAACAGGTTATAACAGAAATAAACATGGTATAACCCCCAAAATTATATAACCAAAACCAAACACGTTATAACCAGAACCAAACACCATATAATCAATTAACTGATAAATCATACTGAATAACATAATTTCGAAGAAGCAGTCTCAACAGGATGACACAGGAAAAAAAATATGAAGAAACAAACTAACACACACAGCATATTGCTGTTTACTGGCATGCGATATTATACTTACATATAAGAATGAAAATCATCAAGACGTTAATATCGAATCTTATTGGTGTTCATATTATTAGTCAGAACAAAAACAAAAATAGTTCAGAAATTGTTCCTTTGCCGGTCACATACCTTTCCAGTGAATCGGTTAATGACTTCTGGAATGAGGTTTTACACCACAATTAGCTCCCCTCAAGGCTAGCCAAAAACAATCAAATATTCCACAAAATAGTCCCAGGGAAGTTTTATTATGTATTGTTCACAGTTTACTTTGAAATGTTACAATAAATATGGTAGACATTAATTTTTTTTTATACAAAATTGTAAATATTTTTAAAAATGTTTGCTCTGCAATGATACAGTAACAGGTTTATTACCAAATAATTGCACGTCATTACACATATTTTATTTATTTCGTGAGTCATTTTATTTACCGTATTGATGCACAAAAATCGCAAGAGCAATCCTTGCTAAAACTTGCAGGAGTGCGCGCCGAAGACATTTATTATGATGTCCAATTAAACTGACACCAGGCCGACCAGTCCTAAAACTAACCTCTTAATGCCGCGCGCCAAGCTTATCATTTTTAGTACCTTTTTTAATAGGTCTTTGGAATCACTCGGCCAGGACTCGAACCCACGACCTATCACATTGGAAGCGGACACTCTGACCACTTAGGCCACCAAAGCGGTAAACTGCCAGGACCTCATGAACAAAGATGAGTTAGTTTGGAGCGAAAATTACAAGGTTGAATCAGTAATGGTAACACACGTACTATAAGGAATGGCTATACTTAGTATTTATGAAAAAATAATTATGGTTGGAGACCATGATAGACTGATCTCAGCTTTGATAAATAAAGCTGGATAAGACATTAAAGGTATTTGTTGGGTAAATGTGGGCACACACATTTTTCTTGCATACTATTAACACCCTGAATATGGATTGTTTACGGCGAATTTGCTGTCTTTTTTGTTATCCATATTTGCAGCTACTAATTAGTATGGTTTGTTTGTCATAGTAGGATCAATGTTCTGCAGGCATTCTTTCTTTCTTTCTTTCTTTCTTTCTTTCTTTCTTTCTTTCTTTCTTTCTTAAACGTATTGTTATTATTATTATTATTATTAATAATAATAATAATAATAATAATAATAATAATAATATTATTATTATTATTATTGTTATTATTATTATTATTATTATTATTATTATTATTATTATTATTATTATTATTATTATTATTATTATTATTATTATTATTATTATTATTATTATTAGTAGTAGTAGTAGTAGTAGTAGTAGTAGTAGTAGTAGTAGTGGTAGTAGTATATTGAGATAGAGTGTGCCGGATGTTTTGGCCAATGAACTTCACTAATTTATATAGATGGTGTATTTGTAAAGCATTGTATAAACCATAACATAGCATAAACGTAGAGAAGTATTTCATGGTCCTTCCTCTTTCAGCCTTTGCTTTGAAAACTTCAAATATTTTTTCTTTAGCTTGTACTCCACACGGTCCCCTATTTTATTTGCTTCTGTTCTCTGCTTCCTTCTTAATTAAAACATTCTTTCTAGCAGGTGTATTTATTTTGTTATACAACTGTCGTATCTCGCACATTCGTGACCATATAATTTGCTCTGAGCTCGAAAAAATGACGATCTTCTGAATTAAAACAATGCATGATTTGCAAGGAACACCAAATTGAGATACAAGCTAGTTAGCAAGAGTTGTCAATTCAACGTTAAGTATTGCATCTTAGAGAAGAGGTTAAAGACACATAAATGGTAGCCATTTCAAAATTCTGACTGCACTCAGTCCAGTGTAAAACCAGTTTTAAGTAACTTGCAAAGCATATTACTTCAGCCTCACTAATTACATCATCTTCTGAATGCAAACAAAATCAGATGAGTGACATTCTCTACCATGCTGTGTTAGTTTAAGTGATCCAATGACAGATGCATTGCTATGCGGCGTTAGTTCAAGTAATCCAATGACAAATACACAGGGCCGTATTTATGCAAAAACTAAACAACAACAACAGCTTAGGGCCTCACAGAATGAATGGTCCTCTAGAAAAATTTCAGAATTTGTATTACAGTCGTATTCTCTGTTAACACATTCCAAAATAGGGCCTTACAGCTGCCAATAGCTAGTTACCTCGCCATGTATAAATCCTGGATTTTTGAATTGCCACGATGTTTAATTTTGTTCAAATCATCGAATTGCCACGATACTATTTACTTTAAAATGTTCATCAATCACGTGCGAATCTTCTTATTGCCTCTGTAGTAAAATAATAAGACTTTCCACAAGATGTAGCAATTTAGAAAAAAAATCTTTTATACGAACTGATTTTGTAACGCAATGAATTGAGAATGACTAGTAGCGTTTACAGCATTGCCCAAAATTTTGTTTAATATGCCATTGTTGGAAAGCATTCTCCAATACCCCCCACCGATGCACTCAATCTATCAAATTTGAAAATCGAAAAAAAACTACGCCATTATTGTGAAAATTGACATTGCTCCGGCAGAAATCCTGCTTAATTCCATGGAGAATTTAACAGGTTCATTTGATGTTTCATTCTGCTCGAATATGATGAACAATTCAATAATGCTGCACCCTTTCAAATGTCGAGTCTACCGAATAAAGGCTGCAACAGAACAGCCATTGACAATGAAGACAGCTTACTCTCAGCCTTTGTGGCGTTCCGAATGCTTTACAAGAAAGGCAAATTATTATATATAAAATTACCGTTGTCAAAGGAAGAGTGGTCTAATGAAAGGTAAGAAATGACCAGTAGAATCTGCGAATCTCACTTATTAAACATTATTATAAATCCCCCAAAATAAAACGTTAACATTTAAAATGAACAAAATTCTTCAAAGCAAAACAACACAAAACATTAGATATGAAGAGTATTCTATTCGTACTATGCAAGTGGGGGAGGGACTATTATACAAATTAAGTAAAACATTCTTAAAAATTGACAAGCACATAATAATGGAAAATGACAAGGACCTTATCATTTCCACTTAGCAGGTGGAAGACATACTCTGGGTATGACATTCTAAACCTGATGAAGAGAAACGTAGTTTTTATAATACACTGGGAGCAATATAAAAGGTCCAAAATACTAAACGTTTTACGTATGTACGCAAGAGTAAAAACGAGTTTTACAGACCGTTTGGTAGAAAACCTACTTAAAATGTTTTCCAAATACTTGCTGGAAATATATTGTAGCGCAGAAGAAACAATGTACAGCTTTCACGATCTGATGTCACCGTGAAGATACATAGTCCAGTTGTAACTAAACGTCACACTAGCCTACAGCTCACTTTTGATAGGTTTGCGTATTGACACAGCGATAAAAAGGTATTGAACAGTTTAATCAGAGATAGCCACCTAGTCTCTCTATAATAATAATAATAATAATAATAATAATAATAATAATAATAATAATAATCATCATCATCATCATCATCATCATCATCATCATCATCATCATCATCATCATCATCATCATTATTATTATTATTATTATTATTATTATTATTATTATTATTATTATTATTATTATTATTATTATTATTATTATTATTCCTTTTCTTGGATAATGATTTAGATGTTGGCATATTAGCTTGAAACCGGAGGTTGTCATCTATTTTTTACACGGTTGTTCGTTGGCAGTCGTCAGTCGAATTTGCGACTCTTACATCACACTAGAAAGTTACATGATCTAATGATGACCTTGTTGCAGTTCTTACATCCAAAAAGAATAATTATTAAATACTTAATTTTTATCTTGATAATACATCAGTCATATTCCAAGAAATGTGTTGATAAAGAATAAATTACGTTATATATTCTGTTGTTGTTGTTCGTCCTTTTAGTTTGAAAGATAACCATGACATCAATAACTGGTTTGATTTATGTGAGTATGTGAGTGGCTGATCGGGCCAGTTTGTGACCTGAACAATCTGTGGTACAGATGCAGCTTGGGTTTGCTTGATCAGTAGAGTACATGCTGCGGTTATGAGATTTACACTGCTTGCGTTTCTACACTTTATCTGCTATTTTTCCGTTCAATGTCTGAAGTTCCAGTATTGATGAGACTTCGCTACGTGGAGAGGTCTTGTGTGAGATCTTCCCAAGACACGGGGTCATTGATGAAGTGTTCAAATGATGACTCTAGAAAATCCTTAAAGCGTTATTTCTGACCACCCTAAGGTCTCTTTCCGTTCATCAGATATTCACAGAAGATCTTTGGTAGTCACTCGTTTGACATCTTGGTGACATGGCCTACCTATCTCAATTGTGACTTCAACAGAAGAGTATGGATGCTTGTAATGCCTTTCGCTGTGAAAACATTTGTGTCGGAGATCCTGTCCAGATATCTTATCCTCATCATTTTCCAATACGAAAATGATTCAGCTTTTTGTCATGATGTCTGTACACTGTCCATGGACTTTGTAGGCCATTGTATTGTTTATGAATTGAAACCTTTGCGCGTAGTCTGCAAAAGTCTAAATATGATTTAGATTTTCTCATGTTGGTTGAATTATAGATGATGGATGCACGTGACAGTTACGAGAAAGGTCAACTTGTCCACTGCCAGATCGATATGGCTGTTTACAGTGACGGTAGGCTGTACGTATGGCTTTCCGGGTGCATGTTTAATGCATTACCTCTATCTTCTCACACTGACTGCGGGACCAAAATTGTCACAATCTGCAAAGAGTTCAAACTGTGTTACATGTTAGACACAGATTTGGAATCCAGGGAACAGTCGTCAGCAAATAGGACATCACGAACAGTCACATCCGGTAACTTTGTCTTCACCTGAAGTCTCCTGATATTGAAAAACTTGCCGTTGTCGATCCTAGTGTGATAGCCTAAGAAGGCATATGTATGCATGGCAGAGAACACCATACTGAAAAGGGTCTTGGCCGATACACGGCTTTGCTTGAATCTGTTGGTGACTGGAAATGGATTCCGATAACTGTCGTCCACGCTACGAGCCGGCATGCTACCACATAAATACCGAACCATCACGATGGATTTCTCTGGGAACGAAATTTTTTATAATCTTCACATGCTTCCATTGCTGTCTTTCTCAAAGGCTTTTGTCAGGTCTATGAATGTCGTGGACTGGTTGAAGTTTTGTTTCTGTCATTTCTCCGAAAGTTCACGGGCTACAAACATAATGTATGAAGTCTCTTGAAGTAGTATTCAATTTCTTGTAGGAACTTTTTATCGGCGTAGTGTGCAAGAACATTCAGTGTTATGTCAAGGATTTTACTAGCTATGACAAAAAGGAGGTGCCTCGATAGTTGTCACATAATTTACTACTGCTTTTACACTTGTAGAGGTGGAAAATAGATGCTTTCTTGCACTCTTGGAGTATAATTCTCCAAATCCACATTGATAGTTTTTATGCCATATGCAATCCTTTGGAGATCTATACGTCTGCTGGGATAACATCTTCTCCTGGTGATTTGACGTATGAGAGCAGGTTCTTTGCCTTCACAGTTTCAAAAAGCTTTAGATGATCAGCAAGTGAAATATTGATTTCCACTTGGAGCAGTCGATCAGTTGCTTCCTCGCTGATTCATGACTGTTGGTTGGGTATGTTCAGGAAATGTTTTGCTCATCTTTTCAGCATGTTTTCCTGGCCTGTGAGCAGCGT